TTATTGTTTTCCAGCCAAATATAAAGAAATCACACTATCACGCTTGAATACCATCATGAATAAGTTTTTTCTGACAAATTCTCACATAAATGCGTTTGTACTCTTGTAAACAATAAAATGAGCTGCCACTGTAATAATTTTAACAGCTGTCGGACGAGTGTCTTAGAAATGACAGCAGTCATTGGTTGCAGTGAAGTTGGTTGCAGTTTTTTCACCTCACCCTGTATATAAAAGTTCACAAGAGCAAGCTCCAAAAGAATTTTAAATTGCCACAACAAATTTCCATTTTATGGCGCTTTGGACTAAAAACCTCCAATATCCAAAATTTAATGGCCAAAACTTTACTGGCCAAAATTGCTAAAAGTGTTCCATCCATCGTCTACGGTAAAAAAAACCAACAGGTTTTGTGCGGTTTAAAGACTTTCTGCAGGATTTTCAAAGTTGAAAGACCTCTATAGGTCTCCTTCTATGTATAGAAGAATCAGTCTTACACCTGCAATAAAATCAGTTGTTGGTCCATTTCCACCCCTAAATATATTGCGAACATCTTTAAAAACAATAGGCCTAGCGTAAGACCAGTCTACGTTTGAGTCGTGCTCTTACATATTTGTATCTCCTAATTTTAGTTATTTCAAAGCTCTTGACCATATTTTCAATCGAAAAGCTGGGGAACATCCCGAAATAAATACTTATTTAAACACCTTTGTCGAAAGATTTTCTACCCTCCAAGAAACCGAAATTCCATAGAAACTACGTTTCAGAAAACCTTTTCGCAGCCTTACCTTCCTGTATCTGCTAAGGTTCTGTCTTCTTCGAGGCCACCATTATAGATAAGCGGTAACGTCACCATTCACACTAATTTGTTCTTCTTCCAACTCCCAAGTTTCCTTTTATTACAACAATTTGATCTTTATCCTATATATACTTCTTATTTCATGAAAATATTTTAAATATTAATTAACAAAAGGATGTCAAAAAAAAAAAAAAAAAAAAACATCTATGTGTTAAGTCATTTTGTAAAAACCTGTTCCAATGTGTGACATATCGTAATGTTTCCGTACGCCTAGATTTATTGCAACACTTAGATTTTCCGATTTATGAGAAATTCTCTAACTGGTTTTACAACTAACCAATCTAGCTCTTAATTACATCTCTCCGATCTGTCATAACTGTGCGGTTTGCTTGCTTCGCTTCGATAAAAACAAAAAAGATGAGCCATTGAGATACTGCTTCTGGTGGCGGCAGTGGTTTTCCCAAAGTACTGACACGCTCAAAATTAATTATAGCCATTTTCGATTGGAATATCCACTCCATTTGCCTGATGTTTTTGAATGAAATTTATATTGTATGTTGCTTGCGGAACGTTTAGTTGTCAACGACATTTGCTGTAGGCTACACAAAGTTGATTAATAAAATACAATGAAGATGAGCAATTTAATGTATCGTCATTTGTACTAACATTGTTATCGAGGATGTTGTCGTTGTTACGGGAATTACATATTGTAGTTTAGGTATAATAGTTTTGTCACATCGTTTGTAATCCCTGAAAATCCATATCTATAGAAGTATTAGATTTTTACAGAGGGTGTTTTTGGAAATTTTTACTAAAATTGGCACAAAAATATACTAAATATTGTACTAATTGAGATTGAAAGCTATTGAAAGCGTTTACATGATTTGTAAAATTCGATTTTTAATCAAATTTCGATTACAATCAAAGGGACTAATAGCAAAGGAGGTGAGCCAAAATTCTTAAGATTGGCATGAGGGTCACTGGAAGTGTATGGGGGTAAAATCAGGACAAAATGTGGGAAATTCGTACATAAGAAAATTCGTGACATAAGGAAATACAGTTGGAAATTTGTACTTTAAAGGTACGAAAAATACAAACAGGCACAAGTTGTTACTTCAGTATCCTTAACAGATAGAAATTTAAAAATTTTGTGTAATGGTCACCACTTGTGTGTCGGGGTTGATATAGGGGAGATTTTTGGAAGGGGTACGAAGAATACCAAAAGCCACAACCTTGTTATTGGGTGTTAGAGCTGGGTGAAAGAGCTAGAACTTTAAAATTTACCATGAGGGTCAATAGGGGTGGGAGGAGGTACAAATTTGTTATTGTGTCATGAGTAAGAGCTGGACGCGGATAACTTTTGCTGCAATGATGTAAAATAATCAAACTGGAAGGGCAAAGAAAGTACAAGAAGGTACTCAACAGAACAATAATGATGTTAGACAATCTGTACAACTAGGACATTGAAATTTTTATGAAGGTAAGTTTTGGTATTTAAAATTAAGATAAGGCGGGATTTTTGTATCGGCTTCGTTAAAAGTTAAATAGTTTACAAAATTAATAGTTAAAAAAATATTATAAGATTCAGAATTTATCAACTCTCTGAATCTAACTTTAATGACAGGAATCCATATACAGGTTGAGATAAAAAAACTGCAAAAAAGTCAAAGGCCATAATTTTTACATTTTTTCTTAAATTTTATTGAATGAAAGCAAAAAAATGTCGGAAACAGCATCAATAGAATAAGTTTGCATTTGTTCGAAGTGGTTACCTTTGGCACAAAGTATGGCCTTCAAACGACAAATGAAACCGTCACACGCTGTCCGAATGTTGCTCTGCGGTATCCCGGCGAAGCGCTTGCTTGAGGTGATCGACACTTTGGTATTTTTTAGTGCCAACCTTGCTTTCCAAAAACTTTTGGCCAAGCGAAGCAACTCTTTAGCTATTTCGACTCTATTTTCTTTCTGTTGCAGTGTAAGTTCTTGCCCTTTATGGAATTTCAATGGCTTTACCCAGAGCTCATTTTCCTATATTTGTTGAATGGAATTTTGCTATATGTTCTGCTCACGAGCCACTGCGACGCGGGTTTCGCTCAAGTGGCTTCTTTACTCTTCGAACCATTTCTGCTGATGTTGCTGTTTCGTCCGTCCACTTTCTTGACGTCGGGCTAAACTGCCACTTTCACGGTAACGAGCGATAGTACAAAACACAAAAGATTTATTCAGTGCTCTAAAGGTAGCCACTTGTGGTTTTCCAGCCATATATAGAGAAATCACACTATCACGCTTAAACTCTATCACGATTAACTTTTTTTTCTGGACAATGCTTTTGTACTGGAATAATTTTAACAGCTGTCGGACGAGTGGCTTGACTGCAATCTGAGTTGGTTACAGTTCCTTCATCTCACCCTCTGTACAGCAAAAATAGATTTTCGGGTTAAAGCCATAATTCATATGAGTTTATGCAAAAATCTGTCTTGTCCTAGTCTTCAAAATCCTTCATTATGAAGTCCACCGGGAAAGATGTTAGTAAAACCATTGCACAATGGTTTCACCTATTTGACACAAGAAACCCACAGTGACCTCAATGTCAAATTTCAGAATTTCAACATTTAATACATTCCCATTCTTTTACCCTGCAATTTAGTACTTCTATACTACATATTTCCAAAATCACCTCCATATCTCAGTAAAGACTTCAACATAATAATACAATAATAATAATAATAATAATAATAATAATAATAATAATAATAATAATAATAATAATAATAATAATAATAATAATAATAATAATAATAATAATAATAACAATAATAATAATAATAATAACAATAATAATAATAATAATAATATAATGAATACAATAATAATAATCCAATATGCCTTCACCCAATACCAAATTTAGTAACACTTAGCACTTTTCGTTCAGTTATACTACGCCTGTCCGAAACCACACCCTAGACACCAACAGTGATCACTATATCAAATTTCAGAATTCCATCTCGATCCTAAAACCCATGGACACATTGTGTGAAATTTTGCACCTTTCGTACATTTATAGGATGCAAATACCGCCATATCCATATCTTAAACTCAGACACAAACAGTGACCCCTGTATAAAATTTCAGGATTTTAGCTCTATTCCCTCACTCAATACCAAATTTACATCTGTCGACATATGCCCACCCTAGACCCAAACTGTGATCCAAAATTAGTACAATTTAGTACTTTACGAACAGTTATAGTACACATATGCAAAACCACCACCAACACAAGATACCAACATAGACCTCAATACGAAATATTAGGAATCCAGCCCTATTTCTTCACCCAATACCAAATTTAGTACCATTTATAAATATAGGACGTATTTCCAAACCACCACCAAATCTCAAACAAAGATATCATCAATAATCTAAATATCAGATTTCAGATTTCAGAATCCTGTCTATATCCCATCACCAAATACCAAATTTAGTACTTTTCGTACAATTATAGTACACATTTCCGAAACCACCTCTATATGTCCAGGCTACACATGAATGGCATCCCTATTTTCAAAACCACCTCTTTATCACAAACCTGCCACCAACACAAACTTTCCAAATTTCAAAGTAACAGCTTCACTCGTTCTCCCCAAACCAAACTGTTCCAAATTTGGTACCATTCAGAAATTTCGCACACTTAGTACAAATTTCTAAAACCCCCTTACTTACCAACTTACATTCCAACCTTGATTCTCATGCCATTTTTAACTTTTCGTAACCTCAAAGTTCGATTTTCAAAAAATCCTTTGGTGATTCTCATTCCAAATTTCAGGATTCTAGCTCATCCCATTTTTCAAAAAAAGTATTAAATTTTAAGTACATTTTAGTACTTTTCGTATGCTTTTAGTACGAATTTTTTAAAAAACCCAGCCTTATCACACTTCTTTTGGCGAAGGGTGTTGAAGATTCAGCCATGCAGCACCCAATAGCAATGCTCCCCTCTCATGTATTAATTGATGACGCTTCAATTGTGGCGGTTGATGCCGACTCTTTTCCGTGTGCTTTCCTAAGCCACCCACCCTCTTCAAATTCAATGCATGCGATTCCCAGCGAATTAGTTGAATAGAATGGAATAAATGAGGCTCAAACATTAGTAGTCCGGCTCAAAGAAGAGTTTATGGCTGAGATTTTTGTGCTCTGTGTTTGTGTGTGTCTCTGTGTATTCTGGTAGGTGCTATGTGAGACTCAATTGAGGCATGCCTAGAATAATTGATTTTAACAATCTGACTATAAATGGGAAGCATTTTACCAGCAGACACTTCAGTTCATTGTAACCTTTCTAAATAATCGAATAACTTCGAAAAGTTTGAGATTTTCGCATTGCAAATTTTGAAAAAAAAAAGTTCAGATCCGGTTTGAGTTTTAAGAGAGGATAATGAAACGTTTTGTTATATTGGCTCTGCTGCTGGTGGCCACAGTCACTGCCACACCCACTCTACATAAGTTGAAGAGTAAATTGCTGGGTGGAGGATTAGGAGGTGGATTTGGTCTTGGATATGGTGGTGGTGGCGGCGGCGGTTATGGAGGTGGTGGCTATGGAGGCGGTCATGGTGTTTATGGCGGTGGTGGTGGCTATGGAGGCCATGGTTATAGCGGCGGTGGAGGATACGGTGGTCATGGCGGCTATGGTGGCGGTTACAACAAGGAAGTTATTGTCGTAAAAGAAGTTCCTGTCTACACTGTTGCAGTACAAAAAGGAGGCGGCGGTGGCGGCTATGGTGGCGGTCATGGCTATGGCGGCGGTGTTGGGGGTGGTAACTATGGTGGCCATGGAGGTTACTCCGGCGGTTATGGCCAAGGTGGTTATGGCGGCGGTAACAGTGGAGGTTGGGGTGGCAATGGCGGCGGTGGTTGCAGTTCCTGTGGAAATCAATTGTATGGCCATGGCGGCGGTGGTGGTAGTGGTTCTTATGCCACAGCCTCAGCCCAGGCCTCCGCCTCTAGTGGAAGTTACTCGAATAGTTGGTAAATCTTTTTAAGAAATCCGAATAGTTTTTAGTGTTTGTAAATAAGAATGTTATTATTTCATTATTGCGTTCTAAATTTTTTCGTGAATGGCCGAAACGGAATTAAAAAAACGGAATTGTGTAATTGTGGGACTGTTTCGAAAAATTATCACAATGTAATTTAATTGTTTAAATCTTAATAGCTGTGAAAGTAATAACATGAAAATAAATAAATAATAAATAAAAAATACAAAGTAAAATTACGTTGCCATCTAATCAAATAGAAAATATCAAAATTTAAAGCCTGGGGAAATAGGTGATGAAGAGATATATCTATAAAGATATAAAACAGTAATTTCAATATTAATAGGCTTAAAATAAAAATGTTGTGTTCGATAAAAAATACAAGATTTTCACTACAAGTGAAAGGACCATATCCACATGGAATAGCTATTAGAAGTAGGTATATTTGTAAATTCAAATTAAATGATAATTCTAAACCAGATTCCATGCGAAAGTCTTAAAAATGTCATAAAAAACCGAAGATGGTACACTGTAAATATAGTTGCAGAATCTACAACCTCAGGTCTGAGTTCGCCAGGATCATTCTCGTTTCCCTCTGCCTTAGAATTAGACGAGGTTGTCAATTTGATAAAAAAAAATTCGATCCATCAAATTAAATGAAAGTTAATCATAACAATAATTACAGATTGTTTTTAACAAGTTCAATATGCTCTAGAGCTCATATTTTTCAAAAGATCCAAGTCCATTACAAGAATCAATTGAAAAAAATGCAAGTGGAGTAGAGTGATGTCAAATACTTTTACATCCAAATCATACATAAGATTGAATAGACAATCTCAAAACTTTGAAATCAACTGGACCGAAAAACAAGTAAAAAAGCTGTAAGTTCGGCCGCGCCGAACTTTTAATACCCTCCACCATTTCGTACAAATTTGGCAATTTCCAAAAAAAAATAAAAAATAAAATAAAGTAAAATCCGTTAAAAATTCTGTTAAAATCTTAAAAATACCGAATGCTCTTACGACGTGGACCTGCATAGGCAACTTTTGTCATAAGTTATTACAATATTTAAATGCGAAACTTGAAGAAAAATCTGTTTATAATGTAGCTAAAATCATCAAAATACCTAATACGGGGGGTACCGTTATATGAAGGCTATACGAAGACGTGGACCTGCACAGACAATTTTCTGGCATGGCCTGAAGTATCCATTACGAACTTCAAATACCAAATGGGGAACGATTCCGTTAAATAATGTCGCTAAAATCATCAAAATACCGAATATCGGGAGTACCGTTATATGGGGACTACATGAAGACGTAGACCTGCACAGATAATTTTCTGTCTTAGGCTGTAGTATCCATTACGAACTTCAAATCCCAAATTTGAAACTATTCCGGTGAATAATGTCGGTAAAATCATCAAAATACCGAATATTGGGAGATGCCGTTATATGGGGGCTATATGATAACTTGGACCTACATGACCACTTGCGAACTTAACTTGCCTACTGGCAAAATATACATGTGTGCAAAATTTTAGCCTTCTATTTCAATTTGTTCGAAAGATAGCCTGATTACAACAGACAGACAGACGGACAGACAGACAGGCAGACAGACGGACATGGCTAAATCGTCTTAGAATTTTACGCTGATCAAGAATATATATACTTTGTTGGGTCTGACATGAGTATTTCGAGGAGTTACAAACGGAATGACAAAATTAATATACCCTCCATAGTATGGTGGAGGGTATAAAAAAGCACCAAAGGTGGCCGGGCCGAACTTGTAATACCCTCCATCATTTTGAAGGAACATAAAAAAATTTCCAAAAAAAATCCGTCAAAAAATTACGAAAAAGAGAAGTAGATTATGAAAGTAGAATTATCAAGTAAAATAGCACCAAAGTTGGCCGGGCCGAACTTGTAATCCCCTTCATTATTTTGGAGGAACATAAACAAATTTCCAAAAAATTACAAAAAAGAGAAGTAGATTATGAAAGTAGAGCTATCAAGTAAAAAAGCACCAAAGTTGGCCGTGCCGAACTTTTAATACCCATCATCCATCATTTTGAAGGAACTTGAAAATTTTCTAAAAAATTTAGTCAAAAAATACCGCTCAAAAAAAAAATGGTGGCTTTTCAAAGGCTGTAGTACCCGGAAAAAAATGTAGCTAATATCATCAAAATGCCGAATAAAGGGAGGTACCATTATATGGCATATGAAGAAGTGAACCTACATAGACAATTTACTGTCATGGTACTTATTACGAGCTTCAAACACAAAATTTGAAACAATTCAGGTGAATAATGTACCTACAATCACCAAAATGCCGAATATCGGGAGGTATCGTTGTTTGGGGCCATACGAAGACGTTAACCTGCATACGCAAGTTTTTCTCATAGGCCGAAGTATCAATTACGAGCTTTAAAAACGAAATTTGAAACTATTGCGGTAGAAAATGGGAATATTGGAAGGTATCATGTAGAGAGCTATACATACTGAGTGAAATAACAAAAAAAAAAAAAAACTGTAACAAGTCAAACACCATAATGTTTAGTTTTTTTTTTTTTAATTTATTGAATGAAAGAAAAATATGTCGGAAATAGCATCAAACTTTAGAACTAGTTAAGATTTGTTCGAATTGGTCACCTATGGCACGAATTATGGCCTCCAAACGGCCAATGAAACCGTCACACGCTGCCCGAATGTTGTTCTGCTGTGTTTTGAGCCATACCCCGCGAAGCGCATGCTTGAGGTAATCGACACTTTGGTATTTTGTAGTGTCAACCTTGCTTTCCAAAATACTCCAGACACAATAGTACAACAGATTGGTATCTGGAGATTTTGGTAGCCATTGTGGGCTGGAAATTAAACTAGGAACCCCATTTTATAACCATTCTTGGGTGGCGCATCCTGAGTGCGATGGTACTGGATCCTGCTGGACTGTCCATGATGTTTGCGTGCCCAAGGCTTATACATCCTCCAGAATATTTTCGCGATAATATTCGGCATTTATTCTGATGCCACGGTCGATTAATACGAACGGAGAGCATCGGAGAGCATCGGCTGTTATGGCGGCCCACACCATCACCGTGGCCGGCGCTTGAGTTCTGGTGGCATTTTCAGCTGACCTCTTTGGCAAGCAAACACGATCATTTTGTTTGTTTACAAACTGCTGGACAACGAATGTCTTCTCATTTCATTTGTGGTAAAGTTTCTGCGGATCTATAACCCTTTTGATTAGAATAAAGATTCTACAAAAAAACATCCCCATATCTCTCACAAAATAAAAGCAAATGTTGAACGTATTTGTTTTTCTTTTTGAATAATCACCACAGATCTGAAACCAATATAGTCCAAAAACATGCGATTTCCAAAAAAGCATTTGTATTTTACGATGCAGATGTTCCTACTACGTTAAATTTCTTTCGGAAAGAACAGAAATTTCACATTCATGTCTTTGTGTTTTTAAGAATTTGCGTATTTTTTCACACAAAATTGTGGTCAATTTCCCCAGCTAAATATTATCCGATCACTATCCAAAATGCTAGGCTTCATTGGAGCCTAGTTAAAAATTATAGGGCGACTGCAAAATCTAGACAAATTTTTAGGTTTTTGGACCATTTAATCCGTAATTATTTTGTGAACTAATTTGAAAAACAATAGGCTGAACTGATCTCATGCGATAAAAAATATGACGACAAATAAAACAAGTAATAAAAAAGAAAGAAAAGTACTAAATGGTACTAAATTTGGTATGCGAGGAAAAGATAGAGCTGGAAATCTAAAAGTTGGCATAAGGATCAAGTTAGTGTTTAGTTTTAAGATTTGAAGGCGGTTTTGGAAATACGTAGTAAAATAGTACGAAAAGTACTAAATGGTAATAAATTTGGTATTTCGAAATCTGAAAATTTAAGTGAGGGTCTTTGATGTTATGTAGGATAGACGATCCAAAGTGTTTGGGATATTTGAACAATAAATGTACTTAAGTACTAAATTTCCTACAATTTGGAATTATGTGAACGAATGGAGCTAATATTTTGACATGAGATATAGGAAGTATGAAAGTTAGGATTGATGGTTGTGGTTTTAGAAATGTGACCTAAGTGTAAGAACTGTAGCAGATGATACTAAATGTTGTACAATTCGGTTTGGGATGAACGAACAAAGCTATAATTCTAAAATTTAGCAGAAAAGAATAAGATATAACATGTAAAAAACCAGTAAAGAAAGTCTTAAAGTCGGGCGGGGCCGATTTTATGATACCCTACACCACTTTGCTAATTTAGTTGAGCTCCACTTAATAATTAAAAGTTTTTATGGGAGAATTCAACCATACACGCTATGATTATAATAATAATTTAAAATTCATAGGAATAAATATGCCGAAGCATTTGTATCTTTTAAATTCGGACTTGTATTGCCCATTTGGTGCGAAATTAATTTGAAATCGGATAAAAATATATATGGGAACTATATCCAAATCTGAACCGATCTCGATAAAATTTGGCAAATATATATCTGAGCTGTATTTGATATATTTCCCTGAATATCGTTGTTACGGAGTGCATATTACGGCTGTGGGTAACAAATACAATAAATCGGATGAACAATATATATGGGAGCTATAACTATATCTGAACCGATCTTCACCAAATTTGGCATACTACCTTCTAGACTAAATTCGGTCGTATGTGTCAAATTCCATCCCATTTGGAAAAATATTAGACGTTTGGTGCACAATAAATGGTAAATCGGACGAAGTTATATATGGGAGCTATATCCAAATCTGAACCGATCTCGATAAAATTTAGCAAAGGTATTTCTGAGCTGCATTTGATATATTTCCCCAAATATTGTTGTTACAGAGTGCATATTACGGCTGCAAAGGACAAAAATAACAAATCGGATCAACAATATATGGGAGCTATAGCTATATCTGAACCGATTTCGATAAAATTTGGCATACTTATTTTCAGGCCTAATTTGGTTGTATGTGCAAAATTCCACACGTTTGGTGCACAATAAAAGGCAAATCGGACGAAGATATATATGGGAGCTATATCTAAATTTTGACCGATTATCTCCAATTTCAATAGGGTTCGTCCTTGGGCCAAACAAATGTTGTTTGCAAAATTTCATCTCAATCGGATAATAAATGCGACCTGCATTTTGTTCACAAAAATACATGGACAGACGGACGGACGGACTGACATGCATAAATCAACTCAGAAA